TATCTATCTATCTATCTATCTATTGTGAACACCACTTGTAGATTTGAACTCACGGTCCCAACTTAGAACTTGATTCTAAAGCAGTTTTAAAAGAATGATGTTTTTAAAAAAGACATGAATGATACCAGGAGCTGAAATTTTTCCAGTTAAATGATTCATAAACATAAGTACTGAAAACCCTCCAAGCAAATGAATAATAAAAATAGGAACTGAAACTTCTCCAATTAAAAATCATAAACATAGGAACTGAAACTTCTGCAATCAAAAGAATCATAAACATCAAACGAATCATAAATGTAGGAACTGAAACTTCTCCAATTGAAAATCATAAACATAGGAACTGAAACTTCTGCAATCAAATGAATCATAGATTAGCACTGAATTGCTGTTAATAAAATTTTAATAATATAATAATCATAATTTGATTTTTGTAGTACACTATTAGTGAATCGAGGTTGTTTACAAGTTTGGGGGCTTTCTGTAAGACTTGATTCGTGGGCCTAGCGCTTACTCGTGCAGAACCCAAATTTTGATACCTGGATACCTGGAGGTGTTATCTCCCCCTCAGAGTTTGCCGTATAATGAACCCCAACCTTCATGGTCGCCAGCTGCTGTTCTATATTCTGCCAGACCCAGGCCAGTCCATGTCTTAATGTTGTCCGTACCTGTTACTGTTTGTCTATCGTTGGCTCTCCTACCCCACACCCTTCTTTCATGCACCTCTTTTACAAAGATCTCATGTCGTTTTATGTGAGTAAAATATTGTATTTTTCTGCTTTTAATTTTTGTTAAACAGGGTTTATCTCGTGTGGAGAAAAGGACACACCTCATTTTTAGTATTTATTTGCGTTCCAGCTAATTCTAGCCATTCTACGGTAGAATATCTTAAACGCAGCTATTTTGCGTTCTTCTCTCTTTGTTTTTGATATTTTTATACGAAAGTTAAAAATTCATAGAGAAGATAAAATCATACGTACCACTGCCCAAAACCCCTTTCCCCCCTCCCTGCGTCCTTGACTTGTACTGTTCAGCCTAGAAACAGGGACAACACCGTTACACCACACCTCCCCTTTCCCATATTCATGAAAATAGAGGGAGAATCAATTCAATCAAACAAAGACAAGCAAGCAAACTGACATAAATCAATAAATACTATTCCTGGGGTCACACGAAACAGAATGTATGGTCTGCTGAGAGATACACATTAAAAAGAAAAAGAGCTCAAGACTCATACTTCTGAGTATAATAACTAGCACTAAAACATTCTGCCCTTGAAACAATTGATTCCTATCCACCAACATGGATCCACTCATACACTGATGGATCTGCCTTTAAGGCAACAATCAACGCTGGATGTGGGTCAGTGATCAACTTGCCCAGTGGGATAAAAAAAAGAAGTCTTTCATTCCAGCGGGTCCTTCTGCTCCAATTTCATTGCCGAACAACAGGCTATCACCAACACAGCAAACTACATCAACTACTTATTTGACATTAACCCACTTGCTACTACAGACATCGTTATCTTTACAGACAGCCTTTCAACACTAGAGACACTTGAGAGTGGGACTGATGTGAACAAAGATGTATTGCACTTGATTTGGAGTCTACATAATTTAATAAGTAGGCACCACGTCAGAGTAGTCCTACAATGGATTCCTGCCTACACTGGGATACTGGGAAATGAAAGAGCTGATGCTCTGGCAAAGAGATGAGTTAGCCTCCCTCAGCCTGAAATTCCTACGAATTACCCCACCTGATGCCAAATGATCAAGTCAAACCTCAAGGAAGAGTGGATGAATGATTGGGCCACAGATACGACAGGAAAGAGGATGTATGGCCACATGAATAAACCACTGGTCAAAGATCCAACCAATGAGTTGAGGAGGGGAGATCAATCCATAATCTTCCAACTTAGAACACAACATGTACCCCTCAACCAACATCTCAACCGAATTGGAGTAAAGCAGTCTGCTGCCTGCCCACTATGTGACTACCCCTCAGAAACAGTGGAACATCATCTGTTCTTCTGTAGAAAACTAACTGATTTAAGGGGATGTTTTCTTCCCAAGTTACCCCACACATCTAATTGCCTCTACTCCTCAAGACAACAATTAGAACAGACATGCAGATATTACCGAATGGCATCATGCAGAAGAGTTAACTCTCAGATGCTACTATATCGCTAACAACAACAACAACGAGTATAATAACATGTGTTGTAAGTAATCGTCGCAACCAATAAAAAAGGAATCATAACTTATTACTTACTGAACTTAAAACCTAGCGAAATGTTCACTGTCTCATGTCAAAGGTCGTCGTCCAAATTCAAACCATCAGTGTTTCTGATACTATTGTCGAGTCCTTTGAAAACCTTTTAGATCCAACCCGTTAATCAACGGAATCTGCGGAGTTAAATGTGCCTAAAAACAAATGTATTTTGAAGATTTAACAGGGTTTGCGGGTTCAAAAAAGGCTAAGATTTGCTCCCGAGCAAAATTCG